CCCCCCCCCCCCCGGGGGTTACACTTATTAAAAAAGTTTGAAAACCCCTGACTTGAGCAATAGCATTATAGCTCAAGAGAGAGGAAACAAAACAATACTGGCACAACTTCCCAGTTTCTTCCTCTTCTGCAACAGCACTTTCTCAGGAAGCCTCTTACAGTTAGTGCTAGCTGTCTCCTTCCAGCACCCCCTGGTTCCCACTCTTAGTTTCTGTTCCTTTCCTCTCTTGCAGGTCAAGGCTCACTACCCCTTGTCCCAATTTACTCTGTCCCTCTTCTGGTTCGGCTTTCTTCCCTCCGCACTGGAATTGGATGATTTTCTTTTTTTTCCTTTGCCACACTGTTTAAGTAGTTAATTAAGGGACACAAAAGAGGTGAGCTTCTGACTCTGAGGGTGCAGAACAACCATTGCAGGGAAATTCAGAGCTTTGGTTATCCTCAGTCTGTGGGAATGGTATGGGTGCAGTAGTGTCAGTTCTAGGAACCGAGGTTTCAGCATGCTCACTGAGGTTAGAATCCTTGGAAGTTTTAGCTAAAAATCTAGTTTGCATCTATAATTTTTAAAGACTCATACATTGGCCAGTTTTAAGTGAATTTTTACAGCAATACCAGGAGGCATATCCCTGATATAGAACACTTTTTCAAATTTCAGCTGTAGAACATGGTGTAGAGCAGGGGTGTCACATTCATTTGGGGCCTCCAGCCAGCTCCAGACTGTCGGATTCCTTGTGAGACAGATGCAACCCAGGGCATGAGGGCTGCTGCAATGGCGAGTGGCACCCCATGGTGGTAGCTGAGTGGGGTCTGGCAGGATCCAGTGATGACAGGAGTGGGAACAGTGCAGAGTCCAGCAGCAGCAGGCCAAGTTCAGTTCTGATGGCAGTGCTCAGTGGGGCCAAGTGGCCAGATTTCTGGCACCCTTGGGTAGCCCAGTGGCTGGATAGAGGGACTCAGTGGGTGAAATCTTGCCTGCAGGCACTGTTTGACACCCCTGGTCTAGAGGTTTTCCTTGAGAAGCTTACAGGTATTTTTTTCTCCTAGCTTAACTCACAGAAATGGCAGAAACATTTTGGGTGAAATCTTCCATAATAATAGTAAGCCTGAGGCATGGAAAAATTTGCCCTAAACAGTCTGGCAAAATGTTACCAGTGACTAAGCAGGGTTATATAATTGAAAATGTCAGACAACTTTAAATGATACCTGGGACTGTATTTAAGGCATGTGATTGTGACTGCTTCATAGATCGAGTCCTTCTGAGTGGAAATTGAGAGGAAATTTCTGGTGCTGTTTCCAGTTGGTATATACTTTTTAAACAGGAGGGGAGGGGCAGGGATTCTTCTGTTCTGGAAAAAACTGGAGGAGGGGGAAGTCTCAACAACTTGGAAAAGGACATGAATACCAGTGAATGTGTTCCACATAAATGCTATAAGAGTTCCCAGAGCATGGAGTGGGTCTCATGGAGGTGGATGGGGGCAGGGGGGAGAGATGGATGAAATACTCCCTCTGAGCTCCCAAAAATTGCAAATATGATGATGGTACAAAGCTACCAATTTTCCCTTTTTGTCACAAATTCTGAATCCTTCTGTTTTTTTCCAAACCCCAAAGAATTTAAGGCTGGTTAGGGTCATGTGTGTGGAAGAATAAATATCCTTGCTTGCAATGATTAAGGTTTACAATAGAGTAGATCTGTCTATCTGGGCTGCAAGGAGTTAAATTGCAGCCTGGAGTTCTCACCTGGCTGCCATTTTCCCCCTATTGCTTGGCTGCAATCTCTGTAGGTCCTTTTTTCCTCTTTTTGTGGCCACTTCCTACCTCTGCCCTAGAAGGTAGAGCAGTGCAGCGCAACATGGGGAGCTGGCCATATATTTGGGGGGGGAGATTGTGCTTGTCTATGGCAGCACTGCACTGGGACTCACATGTTGTAGCAGGAATGAAGATAATTCATGTCTGTGCCTTGCACCAGTGGGGATGCCACATTGCCCATATAGCAGTAGGAAGGAACATCTGCATGGCCTGGTGGCTCGTGACTCGCTTGGTGCAACCCCTGGTGTGTGTGGCCCCTAAGAGTGTGGAAATTGGATAGCCTGGCAATAGACGATCTCCTAAAAAGGTCAAAACACTTTTTTAAATCGGCAGCTAATAATGCAAACAACTAGGTAGAATTAATTTAAGTAGTTTGAAGTAATGGGTGAGATGGTAGAAATTGAATTAGGATGTCTTTGCAAGTCTGTTTTGAAGCTTTGAGAGTGACTTATTAAGGAACTCTCTTGTGTCTACACAATCTGGTGAAGCTAAGCCACCACCCAATGAAAGAGTCAACTGCTCATGCTATAACCCACCTCTCTATTTGATTTATTTATTTATTTATTTATTATTATTGTTGTTATACTTTTAAGGTGGCAGTGGCGGCAGAGAATCCGATTGTATCTTGAAGGAACTGGTATTAATCCTACCCCTGTAGATCTGCATGAACAACAGTTAAGCCAGGAGCAGCACAGCTGGGCCCACATTAATGGCAGATTCCAGGATCAAAGTAAGTTGAAGATGACATCGTGAATGTAAACAACAAAACTTGGCATCTGATAAATCAGAATGGCCAGTTGGTTGTGCAGTGTTTTGATACAGGTATAACTAATGTGATCTTGCAGGATTATCCAAGGTAATAGTGCATGCAGTCTTCTCCAGTTCTTAGCAGGCTGACTTAAATTCTCCCAGAGATATGGTCCTTTTGGTTAGGACCTGGACTTGTAAGCTCTTTAGAAGGGAACCTGTCCTCAGTTGGTTAGGTTTATACCTGATGTAGCAGGCTCAGGAATGTCCTGGGGTGGTCTTTTGCCCCCTGAAAGTTAGCTTAACCATTTTTTGGCAGTTACAACTCAAAAAGACAAAGAGACTGTCTTAAATTCCCAATATTTGTATAGTCTGTGGTTAGCTAACAGTATGCTAGCTCATACAGAGTCATTAAAATTCTGAAAAATTTAACAGACTTGGAAGTCTGTGTTTTTACCTTGCTGTTTAAACTGCAAGAATGTTGGAATTTCAGGGGAAACGGGGAAGAGATTGATCAACACCTTAAGCTGATGGATGGATGGATATGAAGAGGCCGTAAGATTTTATGTAAAGTGTCTCAAAGCTAGACACTCCCCTTTAGGTACAACAAATGTTCTGCAAGCATTTTTTCAAATGAAATGTTTAAACTAATTGTACCTGGTCTAATTCACGTTTTGAAAAGAATTTGTCAGTTTTATAAAACAGGTATGATTTTAAATAACTTGGTGTATGGGAGGAACCATTTTTGGTGCCAAAAGTGTCTCACAAAATGGAACTGGAAATGATCTTTACTGTTGAACAGGCCATTGCTATTATACACTTATCACCAGCATCCGAAGGAGAACCAAAGATGTGAACAGAGTGAGAACTTTAGATGTGGAGGCTTTGAAGAGTCGGGTACTCCTACAGAATCGGCCCAGATCTGTGCAATTCCTGATAGTTTTAGGTTTTTGACCAACCTCATGTGACAATGTTATGTTAATGTTAATTCAGCAGCAGAGTTGGTACTGTGATCCACTGTCAACCTGGTGGCACCTGGGATGTGCTATAATACCAAGAAAATAGCCCCACAGGAGAGTTTGGAACTCACTTGGAGGGTTTCTTACTGCTCTGCCCCCAGGAAATCAGACTTTACAGCAGTGGATTCTTCCGTCTTTGCATGGCTGGGTAGAACATTACTGGACAGTGTACAGGGGCAGAATAGAAATAATCAAAAAGCAGTAAATTAAATCGTGTAAGGAATAAAATGAGGTAAAGAGAACCTTCTGAAGACTTTACAGTATTACACCCTTATTTGTGGCATTGTAATCAGTTTTGGTTACCTCATCTGAAAAGTGATATGGAACAGTTGGAAGGGGTTCAAGAAACAGGAGGGAGGTGCAGGAAAAGAATGAGACATAGTGGGCTTAATTAATAGTAAAGATACTTCCAAAACTTTGGAAATGAAATTAATGCCTTCATGCTTTTAACAAGGCTTTGGACACTGTCTCACATGACATCCTCATTAATAAGCTAAAGAAATGCAGATTACGTGGAAAAAAAAATTGTTTGGATTAGCATGTTCAGTTAGCAGTTGTCAATGACTTGATTCCTCCTCTCAACCAGATAGTGCGATTCCCCAGGGGTCTATCTTGGGTTTTAGTAGTATTTAACATCTTCAGTAATAATTACTTAGACAGGTTGTGGAATCTCCATCCTTGGAGGCTTTTAAGATCTGGCTAGACAAAGTCTTGGTTGGGATTATAAATTGGGGATGACCCTGCTTTGAGCAGGGGGTTGGACTAGATGACCTGCTAAGATCCCTTCTAATCCTAATTTTCTATGATTTGGACAATGGGATTGTGTGCATGCCTAACAAATTGCAGGTTAAATCAATGGAGACACATAGTGAGTGCACAGGGGTGTGCGTGCACCGCCTGTCAAACCATGCTCCCTGTCTAGGTGATAGGCGGGGGGGCAGGCAGTGGCCCGCTCCCCCGTGAACACCAGCTGGGGAGTGGGGCTGCCAGCAGAAGCGGCCGCACCGCTTCTGGAAGCGGCTGTGGGACTTCTGGAAGTGGCGTGGCTGCCTTCTGGTGAGCGAGATCCACTGTGGGAGGATGGGTGCATGCCCCCTCTCCCCCATCAGCACAGTCGGCTGCCAGGGGACCAGCAGAAGTAATTCTTCTGCTCTGTTTGGCGTTGGGGAAACCTTACGTGGACTACTGTGTACAGTCTTGGGCTTCACATTTCAAGAAGGATATGGACAGATTGGAAATATTCCTTTGGAGAGCAACAAAAATAATTAAAGGCATGAGAAGCATGATTTATGCAGAAAGGCTGAAAGAACTAGCATTATTTAGTTTGGCAAAAAAAAAGATGGGGCAGGGGAGGGGGATTTGAGAGGAGTTTATTAAGAGGAAGCAGAAGGGCTTTACTCTGTAGCTGTAGGGGACAGGACTAAGAGCAATGGCTTCAAACTGCAGCAGAAGAAACGTAGGTTCTAGATTAGGAATAGCTTTCTGGCCATGAGTGAGTTTAAGCATTGAAATAGGCTGCCTAAAGAAGTTACATCCCTGGAAACTTTTGAGACCACATTAGACTGACGTTTGGCTAGGACACTTTAGTTAGGGATGTGCCTGTCTTGAGCAGTGGGCTGGACTAGATGAATTTGTGAGATCCAATCCAGCCCTACTTGCCTATGCTCCAGGGCATAAAGCCACTTTCCAACCAGTAGGGATTAGCCATGTGAGGCTGTGGATGCTCTGGGGTCCGAAGCAGCATGTCCAGGTTGAAATGCTGGCCTCGTTAGGCTTCCCGAAATGGTTCAGAGCTTCTGAAGTGCTGTGGAGCCGCCTTGGACATCTGGCCATAGGGTATAATAGGGAAAAATAAAATATCTATAACTTTGTTTTTTTTTGTCTGAATGGGATGAAATTTTCAGGGGTAGTAGACCCTGCAGAGAGCATGAAGCCTGCCAAGTTTCAGGAAGATCAGTGTAGGGGTTTTGGGGGAACTGGACCCCAATTCCTGAAAGAAACTGTCACGTCTATGTGTTACAACATGGGGGTGAAAACTGCAGGGCTGGTAGCTCTTGCTGAGGCCACAAAGCCTGCCAAGTTTCAAGAAGATCAGTGCAGGAGTTTGGGGGGAATTGCCTCTCAAGCTGTGGACAAACAAAACTTGTGCCATGGGTGACACGGCAAGTGTTTAAGGCACAGCGGGGTGACAGCTGCAAGGATGGTAGATCTTCTTGAAACTTGGCAGGCTTTGTGGCCTCAGCAAGAGCTACCACCCCTGCAGTTTTGACCCCCCTGTGGTGTAGCATGTAGACATGACAGGAGTTTTGCTTTCAAGAACTTGGGGTACAGTTTGCCTCCCAAACTCCTGCACTGATCTTCTTGGAACGTGACAGGCTTCATGCTCTCAGCGGAGGCTACCACCCCTGCAAGTTCCATCCAAATCGGACAAAAAACAACAAAGTTATAAATATTTCATTGAATTCCCCATTATACCCTATGGCCGGATCTCTGAGGCGGCTTCGGAGCCGCTTCAGCCAGATCGAGGTGGAAACCTGGTCTGGAGCTCCGGACCAGATCGCTGCCATCTGAAGCGGGATCAGATTGCTGCCGACTTGCACAGGCCTAGGAAGAAACTTTCGTTGTTTACTCATACTGTCTAGAACTTCTCGCAACGTGCTCTCATAATCATTACCGGGATTTTTGTTTTCCCTGATCAACAAAAAATGCAAATTCTCTGATTTAGAACCCCAAAATTTGGGGTGCATGCGCATGTATGCGCACGCGTGCATGCTCAGTTGAACATTTGTTTCCTTGATACATTTACAATTTTAAACAGTTTGGAAGCTTACCAGTGCATTGGTCACTATAATAAAATACTAAATGCCTATAAATTTTGGCATTTGATTTTAGGTTTTTATCATAGAAAATCAGAGCTTCCCCTACC